CCCAAGTCATATGCATACATTTTTCATATTATGATGAATTGCAAAATTAACAGAAACGAACAGCATAAATAATTGTTAATTAATATATCTAAAACTCTATCCAACTGTTGATCATCATTTTGATCTCAATCAAGAAATGAACATTCCCTCATAACTGATATGACAATGTATGTTCATCATTCAAGCCATCTTAGAGATACAGACAGTTTTCATTCTCTTGAATACTGGTTAGGAATTTGTTTTCCTCAATTTGAGAAATGTTTTGTCCAAACTTTTTTTTTGTCTTTCTTAATTTTGTTATTTATTTAAAAAGTTAAAACTTATGAAAAAATTGTATATTAGTTATATTTATCTTTTATAATTTATTAAAAAAAAACTAAATGTATTGTTAGGAAAGAATGGTAATATACCTTTTTAAAATTTACTAAAAACTTTTTTAAAAAATATTGCTAATAAAAATAATTTAAATATATTTTCTCACTTAATCTTTTAAGCATATTTGCATTTATAAACAAATTTATTGAAACATATATGTTTCAAGAAAATGGGACAAATCGAATGTTCCAAGACATGGACAATTTTATGGCTTACAATTTTAAAAATTAAAGTTCACAATAAGATAAAAAATAATATTTTTAATTTTTATTCAAAAAAATATTTAAAAGTAAGTCAAACTATTTAAACAAAAAGTCAATTTTTCACTTTTAAATTAAACATCAAAATAATATGGCTTCTCTTCTAGACAAACTTGAAGAACTCGTTTTTCTTTCCTTTTTTTTTTTTAATTAGAAAATTGCAAATGTGGTCTCACTCGTTTGAAAAATGCAAATTTAGTCCTAAAATTTGATTCCTTTCTTTCTAGCTGTGAACGTTGACTAACAATGCATGAGCGAGACTGTTAGTCTTGATGGACGTGGGACCATTTTTGCAACGAAAAAAATAAAAAGGATCATAAATGACATTCTTGGCTTCTTGAGACCAAAGGTGGAAAACATTAAACTTATGGGACCAAATTTATAATTTTTTCGATATTGTTTCCTTTCTTGATAATATTCTCGGTGGTTGAGAAGTTGTGGTCAGCGTTGGGAGAAATCAAGGACTTGCAAGTGGTCTTGTCATTTATGAATAAATTTGTGCCTTTTAGCTCGTAAATTGAAGTTATAATTAGAGATGTTAAATGGTCTTTGGCCCGACGGACCGACCCGTTCAGCTCGATAAAAAAATAGGGTTAGGGCCTTTTATTGGTAGTCCGTTTAAATCTCGATTTTTTAGGTCCAGACCGTTTAGCCCGAATCCCGCTAGGTCTAGCCCGTTTTACTTCGGTTGGACAGTGTAAATGTTTGAACATGGTGAGGAATATGTCTTAAAATTCTTTGTAAATTATAATTTTGCTATTCTACTTCACACGTAATTATGAGCTACAACGGGTTATTATTATTTTAAAAGATAATTATTAACAAATTTTGTTATTATACTTCACATCAAAATATTTAAGCCAATCATAACGACCAATAAAAAAACAAATGAGACCTGAAAATGATAAATTAGGTCTCATTTTTCTTGCTTAATTGGATTAATCAGTAATTGGGCAGGTATCATAAATTAGAATTTTTTAATAAATTTTACTCTCGCAGATTGAACTGGTTATCACCAACTGAACCTAAAAATGATACTGTGTAATCTACTTTCATGTTCTGTTTATCTCATTCTGTTGAAATTGGCATGAGCGTACATATCGGGGCTGTTTGTAGACCTAACATCATATTCGATTAATTTGTTTGAAACTTATGGGTATTGAATGAAAAGTATCGAGCTGCATTTTCCTCTTTAGCATTGTTCACCCTTTTTGGTTAAACCTTTGCTGAAACTCAGAAAACACAATTTGTTTTACTTCTTAACACAAAGACGTAACACATAAAATATAGTATTGAAATATAATTTATTTTATTTATTTATTTTTTATATATTTTATCATTATATTCATCAACGAAACCCCTCTCATTCGCTTCTCCACCTATACATACAGCGCATCGAAGTTGGAATCAAAAATAACTCACGGGCTTTCGTTCAATTCTTTTCCTCTTTCTTAATTCTGTTTCCAGTCTTTTCAGGTCGCAATCCAAAGGAGGCACAATGCCAAAAATGAGCGAACAATTAACAAACAAAGGAAAGGAAAACCAACAAGTAGACATAAAAACACATCCCAAAACGAATAAAAGAAGCACAAGAAAAAATAACTCCAAATCAGCTATGGTTTCCTTCTCCCCCATTCAACCAACCACCACCAATCCAAAATTCCCCATCAATTAATTGCTGCTGAGACTTCACAATTCCCGCGGCGGTGTTCCCCAAGCTCAAAATCGCCATCATCGGCAGATCCGACCACCACGGCGCCGCCTTCTTCCCCGATCTGCACGACCTCACCCTGACGTCATCCTCATCTGCACCTCCATCATCTCCACGGAGAAGGTCCTCAGATTCAGATCCATCCCCCTCCAGCGCCTCCGCCGGAACACACTCTTCGTGGACAGAGTACAACCTTCCCTTTCGTATTTACTAACCTTTCCCTTCGTATTAAGTTTTTAAGAACGTATAATTCGTATTACCCTCAAATTTTTTAAACATTTATAACTAATAGAAAAATAAGTTTTTTTTGACTGAAAAATTAATTTCAATTGAACTTTTGCACCACATTGCATAGTATTTTGTTGATGAGAGTTTATTAAATGAACATTTTTTAAGAAAAAAAAAGTAAAGTTAATAATATGTGATTAAACAAAAAAGAGTAAAAAATAAACATTAAAGATGTAACAATCCAACTAAACTCGGTTTTATAAATTACTGAATCAATTTACAATTAAAAGACTGAAAGAATAAATTATTATAAATATTTTCAAAAATTTATCTAGAAATTTGGCACATTTGTTTGGAAATATGAGATAAGATAATTTTAATCATGTTGCTTAGAGATAAATAAACTTTAGTTTGTTTTGTATGATGAGCTCAAGAAGTCAAGATTGTATTAACTAGATATAATGAGTTGTGTATTTGTTTTTTTTCAGTAATGATATGGAGCCAACTGTTGGTTCCGGCTCCTTAGTATTATTGNTTATCTAATAAGTAGCACACAGTTTAATTTCCAGTTTAAAACTTTTGGACTTAGAACTATGTTTCATCATTTTCGATTTTGCTGCTTTATATCTTATTTCACAACTTTGTTCAACACTTCTCTAGGTAAATCAAAAGCCAAGGGAAAATTACCATCACCGTTACAAACAAAAAATTAAACAATAAAAAATCTTAATTTAGGTCTAGGTAAATCAAAAGCCAAGGGAGAATTAAACTTCCGTAATGATGCACAAACAAACAAAATATTTAGTACCACCGTCATTAAACACAACACATAAAAAATAAAATAAAATAAAAATAAAAATAGAACAAAATAGATGCACTTCTGTGAGGAGTTACAAACAGGGAGCTTGAGGATAAACGCAAAAGTAAAAGAAAATTTCGTCAGTTTTGATGGTTTTAGGTAGGATGTCATTTCTGTAATTAATTGACCACACAAGGATATATTTGTCAAAAATTAAAGAAAATAGGGATAAAATGGTACATTAACAATGCATTGACTGTGCAGATTTCAGCTATTACGAGGGTAAGTGGAGATGGATTTATCTTAGACACAGCCAATTACTCCATTTTTGGTCGCGGGCCCAAAAAAAAATCACGGGCCACAATCCAATGCAACAAACATGCTATTTAGGAGAGATAAACTATGCAATCTCATCTTATCATACCTAATAAATGTACTTAATATATAAGGATTGTTAGTACATATTTCAATAAATAAATAATATTATTAGTTTAAATAAAAATAGCATAGAAAATAAATTTTAATTATTAATGTATTGTAAATAATTTTTACATTTCTATACATATTTTATAATATTTTCTTTATATATATATATATATTTATTTTTAATAATTTCAATTATTAATATATGGTAAATATTTTTTTACATATTTTATACTATTATATATATATACACATTAAATTTTAAAATAAAAATCAGGGGCTCCCCTGGGCAGAATGTGGCTTCATCTTTGGCTACAGCCCAGGGTATTTATTTCAGCGTGCCTCAAAACACGATCAATATCCTCGAATCTCTTTCGTTCATATCCTCACACTAAAATATTAAATCGTTTTTTTAAAAAAATTCTCAAATCTCTCTCCATGGCCCTCTCGCCGCCGCAGCACCGCCTTCGCGCTCTCGACGAGGCCGTAGAGACACATATTGGCAAAATTAGTTGGAAGAAACTCCTCCAATTGGCCCTAATTTATTTGCCATGTTTCTTCGCAACAAAACTTTATCACCATCTTCATTGATGCCCACCCAAAATGGAGCTACAACACTCAATCCCTCGTCGCGTGCTCTGACATGTGCCGGCTGCCGGAGGGCTCGTGGTCTTGGAATTCTCCTGTGCACTCGTCCACGGTGTCCCAATGGGCCCTCCAGTGCGCGAGCCCGATCGTCCATGGCCTGCCCGCCTTGTCCTTCTTCCTTAGCTGCCTGATCAACTGCCCAGCCCCCTCCATGTTGGCCGACTCCAGCCTCGGCCAGAAGAACATGTTGGCCCTATCGTGCCTCATCATGTCGGTTTTTGGGTGCCTAACCGTGTTTTCCGTGAACGTGTGGATATACGCTGGGCTCCTATTCGTGAGCGGCCTCGGTCGAGCCGTGATCGTCTCGTGCTCATTCGTCCTCGGAAGCAAACTCATCGGCCAGAAATGGAGGGGGAAAGTCGGCATTTTCGGCTTCGTGTGCTATGACCTCAACTTCCTCCTTCCCGCTTTTGGCCTATTTGCTAAAGAGAGCCTCATGGAGAGTAATGTACATTTGTACTTGTGCCCTCCCTATGTGGTCTACTCGATTATCGTTTACTTCTCGGCTCACGAGTCCCTGAGATGGCTCTACATCAAGGGGAAAAAATGGGTGTTCACAGTGGAATGATCATTTGATAGTTTTTTTATCATTCCAGTTAATCTCTCAAATTACACACAGCAGACCAGAAAAAATTACACACATCAAAACAAAAAAATTTGATCTCACAGTGGTGGATTATTTGCAGTGGACTGAGAATTTTGCATAATAGAATCACTCTACTCCATTTAAAGTTTTGTTCGGGCACAAATGGGCAGTGGAGAGATTGATAATGAGCTCCGTGGCGGGATTCGCGGTTGGAGTGGCCAACTATGAGATGCCTTTGGGCATCGGGAGCTTGCACTTCAATTTATACATAAGCGTCGGGCTGAATACCCTGTCGGGTCTCCTGTCGAACGTGGCCCTACTTTTCGTGATCGGGAGAATGAGGCGGAAGGTGTTTATTGGTGGGCTATATTTGTTGAGCGGGGTTTGCAACCTGGCGGGCGTGTTCGTGGGTCTAAAGGGGTGGAAGATTGGGATNAGATGTTCCCGACGTGCGTGAGAAACTTCGTTGTGTCTGTTGTGAGGGATGCCATATTACAGACACAACGAAGTTTCTCACGCACGTCGAGAACATCTCCATCACGTACACCAAAAGCACGTTGAAGGCCATGCCCGCCCGAAAAAAAGAGTAGCTCCATCCCAATCTTCCACCTCGGCCTCACGAACACACCAACCAAGTTGCAAACCCCGCTCAACAAACACAGTCCACCCATAAACACCTTCCGCCTCATTCTCTCGATCACAAAAAGCATGGCCACGTTCGACAGGAGGCTCGACATGGCATTCATCCCGACGTTTATGTATAAATTGAAGTGCAAGCTCCCGAGGCCTAAAGGCATCCCATAGTAGGCCAACCCAACCGCGAATCCCGCCACGGAGTTCATTATCAATCTCTTCACTGCCCACTTACGCTGGAACAAGACTTTAAACGCAGTAGAGTGATTCTGTTCTACATAATTCTCAGTCAACTGCAAAGAATCCACCACTGCGCGATCAAAATTTATGTTCTGTTGTGTGTAATTTTTTTTGTTCTGCTGTGTGTAATTTGAGAGATTAGCTGGAATGATAACAAAACAACCAAATGATCATTCCAATGTGAACTCCCATTTTTTCCCTTGATGTAGAGCCATCTCGGGGACTCGTGAGCCGGGAAGTAGACGATAATCGAGTAAACTATACATGGAGCACAAGTACAAATGTATATTACTCTCCAGGAGGCCATCCTTAGCACATAGGCCAAAAGCGGGAGCGAGAGGAAGCTGAGGTCATAGCACACGAAGCCGAAAATGCCGAATTTTCCCCCTCCATTTCTGGCCGACGAGTTCGCTCCCGAGGACGAATGAGCACGAGCCGATAACGGCTCGACCGAGGCTGCTCATGAATTGGAGCTCGGCGTACATCCACACGTTCACAGAAAAGACGGTTAGGCTCCCAAAAACCGACATGATGAGGCAGGATAGAGCTAGCATGTTCTTCCGGCTGAGACTGGAGTTGGCCAGCATGGAGAGGGTTGGGCCGCCGATCTGTTACGATTTTGCTAATGTTCTATTTAATTTCTGTAATTAGTTAGTGACTTGGTGAAGAATCCAAGAGAATGGTGGGAGAGTAGGGAAAGAATGGGGAGGAAGAGTTAAGAGAGAGAAAGTAGAAAGAAGAAGAGATTTGTAATCACAACCATAATGCTTTTTCCTTTCCACCATTCCACTAAATAACTGTATGTGGGACCAAGGGAATCAGATGAAATGCAACTTACGTGCTCTATTCAAAATGGGCCAAAACATTTAGGCCTAAATACCCAATAAACAAAACTCAGTTTTAAATAAAATATCTAGAAGATAACTTGGCCCAATTAATTAAACTAAGGACCAAACCAACCCATAACCCAAATCCCATTACATTTCCAAACAAGCCCTAGTCGATCGTCTTCTCCGGCGATATACCGTACTCAATCGCCGATCCCTCGCATTTAACCTTCTCCGACATCTCTTTCGCTTCCGCATTTGCTTGGGTCATGACATTACCCTCGCCATTCGAAGATCCTTGACCGCAAGGATCAAAATTTGGAAAGGAACGGCGAATAAAAGAGACATCCTCCCACGTCGCCGGTGAGTTGGTATCATCCTCCCAGAGTATCTGAACTTGAGGTATTTCCTTTCCATTGCGCAAGATCATTCTTTTATCGCTAATGGAAAAAGGTTCCACCTTTAAGATCCCATCGTCATCTGTGGCAGGTAAAGTGGTAGAGACCGTCACACCTGGGTGAAGCCGCTGCTTGAGGAGTGAAACATGGAACACGGGATGGACTTTGGAGTCAGCAGGTAATGCTAATCGGTAAGAAACAGCTCCAATTCGTTCCAATATAGTAAATGGGCCGTAAAAACGGGCCGCAAGTTTCATGTTTTGTCTGAGGGCAATCGATGTTTGCCTGTAGGGTTGGAGTTTGAGAAATACTTGGTCACCAACTTGAAATTGCTTGTCTTCTCTCTTTTTATCCGCAAAAAATTTCATTCTTGCCTGGGCCTGTGATAAATTCTCCTTGAGCTGTTGTGTGATTAACATCCTTTGCTGCATTAGATCTGTAACTTCTGGCACTTCAGAGTCTAGGTAGGGACCCATAGAGAAGTTAGGAGGTGCATACCCGTATAAGGCTTGAAAAGGTGTCATCTTTAAACTGGTATGGTAGTTGGTGTTGTACCAGTGTTCGGCCATAGATAGCCATTTACTCCATTGCCTAGGGTTTGAGTGTACCATTCCCCTTAGGTAATTTTCCAAACACTGATTGAGTCTCTCAGATTGGCCATCAGTTTGGGGGTGGTAGGAAGAAGACATGTCTAAGTGCACCCCCAGTAGCTTGAATAATTCTTTCCAAAAGGAACTTGTAAAAATTTTATCCCTATCTGTGACCATGCTGACAGGGAGACCATGTAATTTGTAGATGGTGTCCAGGAACAGTTTAGCAATGGTGGGGGCTGTGAATGGGTGGGACAAAGCCAAGAAATGGCTGTATTTAGTGAACCTATCAATTATTACCAAGATGACATCCTTTCCCCCAGACTTGGGAAGTCCTTCAATGAAATCCATGGCTATATGTGTCCAAGCCTGTTTAGGAATAGGAAGTGGTTGCAAAAGTCCTGGATACAAGCCTGTCCCTTTGTTTAATTCTTTTGCAGACATCACAACTTTGCACAAATTTGATTACATCACCCTTCAGGCCACTCCAATAGAAAACCCCTTTGACTCTCATATATGTCCCAAGAATTCCTGAATGTCCACCATAAGCTGATTCATGCATGGTAGAAAGAATAGAGTCTCTGAGGTTAGTGCCCTTCCCAATTACCAATTTCCCTTTGTGTCTAAGAATGCCCTCCACCACCAGAAATTGAGGGTAGGAAGCAGGTTGGATTGTATTGGCAGCTAGAACCTTGGTGAGATATGGATCAGTGAGGTAACTATCTTTGACCTCCTGTACCCAAGCAGGAACAACAGTAGATATAGCCATGCACCCACTATCATCTGCACCTCTCCTAGATAAAGCATCAGCCACTTTATTATCAGTGCCCTTCTTGTATCTGATCTCATAGTCCAAACCAAGAAGTTTTGTGATCCATTTCTGTTGAATTGGGGTCATAACTTTCTGATCAAGCAAATACTTCAAAGCCTGCTGGTCTGTCTTGATGATGAATCTGTGACCCTGTAAATAATACCTCCACCTTTGCACAGCCATCAACACAGCAAGAAATTCCCTTTCATAAATTGAGAGGGCTTGATTTTTTGGGCAAAGCATTTTGCTCATGAATGCTATTGGTTGGCCTTGTTGCATTAAAACTGCTCCCACACCCTTGCCACTAGCATCTGTTTCTAGGACAAATGGTTGGGTATAATCTGGTAAGGCCAAAACAGGGGCAGTGACCATGGCCTCTTTTAGTTCCTCAAAGGCTTTAGCAGCCTCAGAACTCCACTTGAATTGGTCCTTCTTTAATAGGTCAGTGAGGGGTCTGCTCAGCATCCCATAGCCTCTGACAAATTTTCTGTAGTACCCAGTAAGGCCAAGGAAACCTCTCAGTTGTTTGAGGTTAGATGGGGTGGGCCACTTCAACATGGCTTCAATCTTTTGAGGATCAGTAGCAACTCCTTGGTGAGTGATTATATGGCCCAGATATTCAATTTTGACCTGAGCAAATTGGCATTTACTTTTCTTTGCATATAGCCTGTTGTCTTTCAGAACCTGTAATACTTGCCTTAGATGGTCAAGATGAGCTTCCCAACTTGTGCTATAAATCAATATATCATCAAAAAATACCAGAACACACTTCCTCAGTAAATCCCTGAAAATCTGATTCATTAAAGATTGGAAGGTGGCAGGGGCATTGCAAAGGCCAAAGGGCATGACCAAGAACTCATAATGGCCATTGTGAGTTCTGAATGCAGTGAGATACCTGTGTTCTTCATCCATAAGAATTTGAAAATAACCAGATCTCAGGTCTATTTTAGAAAAGAACTTAGCCCCCTGTAATTCATCTAGCAGCTCATCAATTACTGGGATAGGATAGTCATGCTTCACTGTAAGCCCATTAAGGTATCTGTAATCAACACATAATCTCCAGGTGGAGTCCTTTTTCTTCACTAAAATAACAGGTGATGCAAATGGACTCTTGCTATCCTGGATAATGCCTGATTCAAGCATTTCTCTCACAATCTTCTCTATTTCTTCTTTGTGACTGTGGGAAGACCTGTAAGGAAATTGATGTTTGGGAGTGCTGTTAGGTTTAAGTGTTATTTGGTGCTCAACCCCTCTGCTGGGAGGAAGTCCTTTAGGTTCCTGAAAAACCTCATCAAAGGCAGCTAGGAGGGACTCCACCTCATTATAATCTTCTTGAAGATCACTCTTAGTTAAGGACAACCAATAAACTCCATCCACTGAACAGTCAACTTCCTCATGCAGCAGTTTATATAAGGTTGGACCAGAGATGAACTTGCAAGAGGCCTCTGATTTCAGAGCATGTATCTTAACCCTCTTCCCACTAAGTGTCACAGTGAAACTCATCTTCTCATAATCCAATTCTATTGGAGTACAACTTTTTAGTCAGTCACCCCCTAATATCAGATCACAACCTTCATTTTCCAAAACCCTGAGGGAATAAGAGAAAGAGTGCCCTTGGATTTTCCAGTTGAAATTCTCTGCCACTTGAGTGCTGAACATTCGTTGACCATTGGCAACCCTTACCATGATAGGTTTAGCTGGTTTTAGAGCCAACCCCAATGTCTTAGCTGTACTGGCCTGAATGAAGCTCAATGTGCTACCTGAGTCTAACAATATATGCAACTTGTGACCTGCTACATCACCATAGACTCTCATGGTTGTTAATCCATCTGCCCCAGAGATAGCATTTAAGGACATTTGGATTTCTTCAAAGCTGCCATCAGATTCCACCTCACTGTCAGAGGGTGTGGTAGAGAGTAAATAGTTGAGCTCCTCTTCCTCAGACATCATCATGTAGTTAAGTCGGTGCTTACATCGGTGCCCAAAAGTAAACTGCTCATCACAGTTGTAGCATAGGCCTTTAGCTCTTCTAGCAGCCATTTCAGCAGAGGTAAGAAGTTTGACAGGTGATTTAGGAAGGGAGGTCAGGGGTCTGGGGTTGGGCACAAAAGTGGGCTCAGGTTTCTTAACAGCCTGGTAATTGCCAGGTACAAATTTCCCAGGACCTTTAAGTTTCCTAGTGATGGCCTCCAATGTAACCAATTGTCTCTTGCCCAAATCTATAGTCTGTTGGAGAGTAGTGGGTTCAAACATATAAATGAAAGCTTGCAGCTCCTCAGATAACCCACTGATGAAGCTAGCTATGAAATATTCTTCAGAGTACTCCTGGTTCATACAGAGCATACAAGCTCTGAGCTCCTCGAACTTCTCAACATAGTCCAAGTAAGATCCTGTATGCCGAAGCTTGTTAAACTCTCCAATGATTTTGGATTCTTTAAGTTCCTCAAACCTTGCTGTGATAATATCCAGAAATTGTGCCCATGTGATGTCCTCAAACTTGTGGCTGAAATTCTGGAACCACTGAGCTGCCTTGCCCTCTAGGTGCATAGAAGCTAATGTTACTTTCTGATGGTCAGGGATGTGTGGAATAATTTTGAAATATCCATTGCACTTCAGAATCCATGTTCGCGGACTGGTACCATCGAAATGAGGGAATTCAAGTTTAGGGAAAGGGCTGTGAATCTGTGAATTGTGGGAATTTTGTTGATGCAACTGCAGTTTGGGGTTGACAGTCGAGTGTGATTTACTAGAACTCCCTGTTTTGTGGTCGTGGTACGGTCCAAACAAGGACTCTTCCCCTTGCTTCTTGCCATTGTCCATGTTCAGTAGCTGCAATTGCATAGCAGCTAGTGTATTAGTGAGATGGTCATACTTACCCTGTAAGTCGCTGGTAAGTGCTTTGACTTCAGTACCCAACCCAGCGATTTGCTCTTGGAGCTTAAGTTCTGCTGCTTCTCTCTTAAGGACCTCTGTTTGTATAAACTGATCCGTTTTCTTTTGTGACTCTTGCAGGTCCTTGAAGCGTGTGCCCTCCGCCATGACCAAGATCGGGCTTAACTGATACCAAATGTTACGATTTTGCTAATGTTCTATTTAATTTCTGTAATTAGTTAGTGACTTGGTGAAGAATCCAAGAGAATGGTGGGAGAGTAGGGAAAGAATGGGGAGGAAGAGTTAAGAGAGAGAAAGTAGAAAGAAGAAGAGATTTGTAATCACAACCATAAAGCTTTTTCCTTTCCACCATTCCACTAAATAACTGTATGTGGGACCAAGGGAATCAGATGAAATGCAACTTACGTGCTCTATTCAAAATGGGCCAAAACATTTAGGCCTAAATACCCAATAAACAAAACTCAGTTTTAAATAAAATATCTAGAAGATAACTTGGCCCAATTAATTAAACTAAGGACCAAACCAACCCATAACCCAAATCCCATTACATTTCCAAACAAGCCCTAGTCGATCGTCTTCTCCGGCGATATACCGTACTCAATCGCCGATCCCTCGCATTTAACCTTCTCCGACATCTCTTTCGCTTCCGCATTTGCTTGGGTCATGACACGATCATGCAGCCAAGGAAGAAGGACGAGGCGGGCAGGCCACGATGATCGGGCTCGCACACTGGAGGGACTATTTGGACACCGTGGACGAGTGCACTGGGGAATCCCAAGACCATGAGCCCTCCGCAGCCGGCACATGTCGGCACACGCGGCGGGGGATTGAGAGTTGCAGCTCCATCTTGGGTGGGCGTCAGTGAAGATGGTGATAAAGTTTTGTTGCGCGTCAAAGAAACACGCCAAAGAAATTAGGACCAATTGGAGAACTTGCTTCCAACTGATTTCGCCAATGTGTGTCTCTACGGCCTCGTCGAGAGTGCGAAGGCGGTGCTGCGACTGCGAGAGGGCCATGGAGAGAGATTTGAGAAATATTTTTTTTTTTTTTAAAAGAAAGATTTAATATTTTTGTGTGAGGATATGAACGAGAGAGATTTGAGAACATTGATCGTGTTTTGAGGCACCCTTAAATAAATACCCAGAAATTTGAGAACATTAATCGTGTTTTATTTAAACTAATAATATTATTTATTTATTAAAATATGTACTAACAATCCTTATATATTAAATTTTTAGATAAACTTTTGAAAGTATTTATAGTGTTTACTCTTTCGGTTTTTTAATTTTAAATTGATTTAGTGATTTATAAGACCGAATTTAGTTGATTGTTACAACTTTAATGTTTATTTTTTACTCTTTTTTGTTTAATCACATATTATTAACTTTATTATTTTTCTTAAAAAAATATTCATTTAATAAACTTTCATCAACAAAAATGCTATGCAATGTGGTGCAAAAGTTCAATTTAAATCAAAATTTCAACCAAAAAACTTATTTTTTCATAAATTATAAATGTTGAACATAAATTATAAATACATGAAATCTCATTTTTTTGTTAGGGATTCTAAGTTCTTAAAAACTTAATGGTACATATATCTATATTTATATTTATAGTAAATACATTTTTATATGAAATGAATGTTTCGAGTTAAACTACAAACTTGTTATTTAACATTTTAAATCGGGTCCCCCTGCATGTAATTTTTAGATCCATCATTGGCTGTAGCCTGGTGCCTCTTCTATGCCATCTATTGGTTTTAGTATATTTTTTTATATTTTGTTTCAAATTCGGCCCGTGGATAGTAGTGACCAAACAATTAAGATTAATACACATATTTCACATAATATTGTCAAATTTTTTCAATTTATACTTTTAGAATTTTATTTTCCAATATGTAGTCCTTCTATCAGTATTGTGCATTGTTAAAATTTTTATTTAATTTATAGGTAATTGAAAGTTTATGAACTTAGCTAATAGATTTGAGCGAGACTAATATATATACATATATATATATATATATATGCTAGTTCAAATAAAAACTAGTCCTGGTGTGAGAACCGTGAGAACCGTTTTTGTTTTTGATGATATGTTTAATTGTGTATGATGCTATTTTTCATATTAAATGATGCTATCATTTTTACAAGTGCTACTATAATTGTTGCTATTTTTAATAAAATTCATCCTAGTTAAAAATAACATCAAACACAATCAATCATAGCACTACGCTCAAATAAAAATAGCAGTTCTCACACTGGACTTGGTTCTCATTTAAACCACATTATATATATATATAAAGTTAGGATCCAATGAGAAGAATAGTAGATAGTAAAAGAAATAAAAATAAATCTACACTATTGGATCTAACATATTAATGGTCATGATGTAGTCAAATTTTAATAAATAATGGTCAATAGGTGGTGGCATCATAGTAAATATATGATCAAATCTAGGTCAAATATATATTTTAGACAATTCATGAGGGTAATTTGGTCATCATAAGAGCATCTCCAATGTAACTTTTGACATTATAAAAAGTCATCCATATCATCAACTTTTAAAAGTGTATTATTATTTTTTTCTCCAATCCATCTTGTCATGAACTCTTTCATGATGAGGTGGATGTCATTTGAGCACACTTTCTAATATGTAACACCATGTTAAACATGATGACTCATCAATTTACTTTATATTTGTTTTAATTTTTTATTTTTCTTATATCAATAAATTATTTAATTGGTCCACCTATTATAGTAACTTCTTATCAAATTGATGCATTGAAGATACTAGTTTTATTCAAATTTCTAGTCTTTTAACATTATTCTAATGTGGATTAACATTACAATCACTAATTGACATGTGTTAAAAATAATGGTCTTTCAAAATCATAGCATTGGAGATGCTCTAAACAATGCGAACTCGCACATGGTGGGTCCTACCACAACACTCTAACGTAATTCACTATCTCCACCTCTGGTAATTTCACTCACTCTCTCCCTCACCCACACCCCCAAATTCACTCACGCACAGACGCACACACACCTTGCACCGGCAGCCGTCCGCCGCCCCTCTGCCCACCGACACTAGTTTCCAGCCGCCGTATTCAATATTTCCCGTCCCTCCATCTCGTCGGAGACTCGCCGGCCAAGATGGAGTTTCTAAATCACCGGCCGAGAATCAACCAGAGAAAATGTCCAAGGTATATGCCGCTGCTTCGGGCCAACGCCATACGCCATGAGCCGCCGCTTCGGATACCGCCGAGATGGCCGCTGGAGTATCTCCGCCGAGAATAGACAGAGAACAAGCTCTGCCTAGCCGCTGCCAGTATGTCTTCATTCTCGCCGGAGCATCAGGTGGAGGAGAGCCGGCGGCGACTGCCATCATGTACTTCACGGCAAGAGCAGTCAGGTCGACAGAAATGAGTCGGTACTGAACGGCCAGTTACAGTGACAGGAGGATGAAGATTTTTATGACCAGGGACTTATTTTCGAAAATTAGATAACTCCTAAGGACCTTTATGCAATTACATAACTTTTAGTATTAAGACATGTTTAGATCTTATTAGGTACAAATAATTTTATTTTATTTTTTTTTTCACATGATTGATCTCCTTTATTCTAGTTCTACTTCATCTCCTTGATTCTAGTTCTATATGCAGGTGGCAATTGATCGTATCTGTTGTGAGAGCTTAAAAGTTTCAATTTTTCCCAAGCCTTCTTAGATAGTTTTGCTAGATCTGACATGAAATTGAATGAAGGTTTGACTTTTTGTCCAATTTTTGTTGGATCTAATTTTTTTCATTTTAGTTTTATGCTAAGTTAGAAATTAATCGTTAGAGCTAATAAATTCAGGTTTTCTCATCGTTTGCAATATGATTTTGCTGATATCTGTAATACAATTTTTTTCATTGTTGCTATTTGATATTGAGAGGTTTCCCTTTGGTAGTTGTGGCAACTTTGTAATTCATTCAAAGTCCAACACATGCACATTAATATATATAAAATGCACAATATTGTGTAAGAAAATGCACAATAAAAATCCCACCATTTTTTTACAAAATGACATAACTTCGACCAATTACTACAATTAAAGTACACAATTAAAGGTTCATAAATTTACCTGAAATGCCACGTTGGTTAGTGTTGTTCATCGGTTGGTTTGTTTGAAACGACCGACCGAAATGTCAAAATTGAAATATTTGAGTCTATCTTTTTTGTAAAACGAACCGATTGGATTTTTCCCCAATTCAAAACTAAAAGCGAACCGAATGGCTAATCGTTTCGGTTCGTAAACCAAAATAACCAAAATGATGAAAAAAATTATTGTTTTTATATGATAACATAGTTAGTATTTAATATTTTATATATTTACTGGCAAAAAATAAATAACATTTTTTACATAAAAAATATATGTATATATACATAAATAGTAATATTTTTTTTATAGTTTGGTCGGTTCGGTTATTTCGATTACATAAAAAAAAACACACATCGAACCAAAATAACTTAATTTTTAAAAGTAAAGATATATAATCTACTCGAAATATAATATTTTTAACAAAATGTTTTAGTACGACAATTTCAGTCACTATTGTGCAGTCTAACAATTATTAATGTGCAATTCATCTAACACTATTGTGCATTCTCAACGCATGAATTTTTAATGATTTGTCGCAAACCGAAATAATTGATTTATTCGATAGGTCACACAAGTTAATCTAAATAATCAAAATAATTTATTATTTATATCATAAAATATATTTAGTATTTAAATATTTTAATTTAATAACATATATTTTTCTTGGTTGAAAGACATAATATATATGTATATAATAAATTTTATATAGTTTGTTGGTTCAATTATTTTTTTTAAAAAACAAAGCCGATATCGAACTAATATGATTAAAATTTTAAAAGTTAAAACAGATAATCCAACCGACATATAAAAATTCGAATAGAAGATTTTAGTTATGTAAGTTTTTGATTGCTATTGTGCATCCTGACTGACATTAATGTGCATCATATCTAAACCTATTGTGCATTTTATAATGTTGACATTTTTTTATGTGCATTTTATTTAACATTAAAGTGTAGTTTGTTTAATTTTAATGTGCATTGTAATCATCATTATCATACAATTATTAAACTTTTAATAAATTACAAAACTACACACTTAAATTAACACTATCAAAACCAAATTGGTAGCCATAAGCATCCATTTCAATTCCAAGAAATATGGAAAATGTCAGAAAAAAAAAAACTAATGACACTTGCAAGACCTAATCGAGGAAGGTTTAGGAAGCCCAAAACAATGGATATTCTCCAGAACCCATTTATCTGGTCGAGCCAGGCCGACATGACGATTTTTTTTTCGTGGCGAGCAGTCAATTTGCTTTCGTCTCCGGCGCGCAGATCTGGTCTATCCAGGCGGTCGTCGATGTACCGGAGTTTCGAAGGTCGAGGAGTCGGAGTTCGAAAAAACGGCGTGCCAGTGGTTGATAAGGAGCCGCGATATGGGCAGTGCTGGATGGTCGCTAGTGGGATGTCCGTGGTCAAGGGCGCCGGCGGGGATATATACTGGTGTGCGTGTGCGTGTGTGTGTGTGTGTGTGAGAGAGAGAGAGAGAGAGAGAGAGAGAGAGAGGGGGGGAGGGAGAGAGAGACAGAGACGTGTGACGGGTTTCGAGGATGGGTCACTGATTTGTGTTGGTTGATGTTTGTGTATTACTGTAATGTCAAAATTACCCTTAATCAAAGTATAATTTTGAATTTTTTTTTAACATTAGCTCATCCGATTTAATAGTTACGATTTATTCTTATTTCTTTCATTGAACACCATTTTCACCGGAGCGTGACCCTATATATATATATAATATATATATAATGAATATCCTATTCTTTTGTGAATGGTTGCTTTGGATATGTTTTGCCTTGAAGTGGTTTTTTCTTCAAAATCATTTGGGGTTAGTCAATGACTATAACTTTTCGAAGAAATAGGAGAATAAATAAAGAGGTATTTAGAGAGTTTTGGTGTTTATTAATATTTAATAATAATACAGATACAGATACTTCGGATTATTAACAAAGGAACTAGTCAAAGAACTTTATCTTAACTAGATAGCACAAAAGATATAGCCATACAACTATAAAGATTAGTTAGAGATAATCTTAGACTCCTACGTACTCTTGTGCATATTCCGTCTCCTTAGGGGCAATAATTCAATAATTATGTTAACAAAAGTAGATTTACATTTGGAATCATTACAAATGTTTGGACAAATAATTATAAGCTATGAATTATTCAGTTACGTTGAATGATCACTTTTCTTTCTCTTGAATACTGGTTAGGAATTTGTTTTCCTCAATTTGAGAAATGTTTTGTCCAATTCTTTTCTGTCTTTCTTAATTTTGTTTCCTGTCTTTTTCTAGTCGCAATCCAAAGTAGGCACAGTGCCAAAAAAGACTGAATATTTAGCAAACAAGAAAAGGAAAACAAACAAGTCATATGCATACATTTCTTCATATTATGAATTACAGAATTAACAGAAACGAACAGCATAAATAATTGTTAATTAATACATCTAAAACTCTATATCCAACTGTTGATCATAAGTTTTATCTAGATAAGAAATGGAACTGATATGACAATGTATGTTCATCATTCAAGCCATCTTACAGATACAGACAGTTTTCATATGTAACAAGTTAANGATGCGATGCTTATTTTGATTTTGTTTGAATTTTTTAGTTTGATATGGTTAATTTTGAAAAAAGTGTATGGTTAGAATTTTGAGTTTATATTAAAATAATATTTGAAATAAAATATTTAAAATTGATTTGATGTAAAAAAATGAGAGATGATGTGAAATGATTGTTAATTAAAATGATGTGAGAGGATTGACATTGAATAAAAATTGATCTAATGTGTAAGAATGATTCACTGATATTATTGAATCATATCGATAATATTGAGAAGATGAGATTGAGTTAAAGTTAAGTTAGATTTGAGTTAAAAAAAAAAATTAGAATATTTTGAAAAATTTTGTATCCAAATTTTCACCACCAGCAAGTTGTCCCAACACGGTCCAAATCAAGTGACCCAAGAATTCAAAATTTCAAATGACGGATCAAGATTCAAGACACATACACGATCATTAAACTTAAAAATCCATTTACAAGAGCTCAAATTACTCGTCCCCAGATTCTACGGAAGTTTCGATCTTATCGATATAAACAATAAATATTTCATTTTTTAAAAAAAACTGTTGAAACGTAAACCATCACACATAGAATTCGGCACAAACTATTGAAACGTACCAATTTTCGTAAATTCTACATTTTTCCATTGCCCTATCTATAACCACAAAAACAAACGTACCAATAAACAGCGTGGAACCCAATTTTCCCACATATTTATTTACACCTTTCAACAAATATTAAATTCCACCCACCAACCAACGCCAATTTGAAACCACCTCTCACGAATAATAATATCATGGATCATCATAGAAGAAAATCAAAGGAGAAGACATTTATCAAGGTTGACCAATTAGCCTTAGCCAAATCCGCTGCATGGGCTTGGCTTCAACACGGATCCGAATCAAACACGCGGCTCATCCACGAACACGATGCTCGGAGGCCGAAAATCGAGCCAAAACCGTCAAGGTACAAGCTAGAAGTCCTAAGAAATGTACAAACAATAGAGCACAACAATTCGAAATCGCCTAGTATAATATCGTTAACTAGTAATCGAAAGTCTAGTCAAAATTCGCTTCTCGATAACTATGAGATCGAGAGAATATCGAGACATCTCGAGCATTACATCGAGTCGAGTCACGCAAAGCAAACCGATCGAGTTTCCAATAAAGTTGTCGGTCAAAAGAAGAAGAAGAAGAAGAGTACTATTAATCATGCGAAAGGGTTCGGGTCGTGTGGCTCGTCAAGTGATGACGTGGCGGCCCAAAGGCGGCGGCCGGAAAAAGCCCGTGTGGCGGTGGTGGATGTTGCCAACTGTCGGCCGTGGCCGTGGGGATTGTGGGCTTGATAAATGGATATAATTAGTTAGCAGTCGATATTTTGGATCGTGGGTTTGTAGCTATATTTTTTATTTTTATTTTGGTTATGTGATGCATAAGCATTTTCAGAAATGTCATTTGTACTGATGAATATTTATTTTTGTTCCTCATTAGGCCAGTCTTAAATGTAACAAATTTTTGTTCTTAATTACTAGTACCATATATAGTTCAGTAAGTGTAGTTAGAGAATGAAAAGTTTAGAATTGAAAACGCCTGCCCGTCATAATTGAATAAACATTTTGTGAAAATCCACTATTGGAATCATCAAAGTTTAATAAAAATTTTAATAGAAAATACATCTCAACTGAAGATTTTTGTTCGAGTTTTTGTTGGAATTCATTGGAAAGTTACAGGTGAAATAATTGCATTGAAATATCCATTTGAATTGTCGTTGGAATTTCATTATTTTCTTGTAGTAATTGTTCAGAAATATGTACAACTATATCTATTATTCACTTTGAAAATCATTCATACAACATTATGTATAAAAAGTATAATCATATCAATCAAAGAGTGACTTTGAATCAAAATTGATAATTAGTTCTGATAAACTTGCACCTCCTGTTGGACTAATGATCGACATCAATTCGGTCTTACAGTTATGACGTGTTATGTGAAACGAGAAGGAAGTGATCCGAGCTTGACTTGAATTCGTTAAATCGCGAACTCGACTCATTTATTTTTGATAATTGGAGCTGAGTTTTTAGCTATTTTGAAACACTTATTTAGTTCAAGCCGAGCATTGTTTAAGTTTTGAGCTTTTGAGTTTAGTTCAGTATTCAAGGTTTTTTTACTATGTTTGATAATCGTAACCAGAGAAAATACTCTCCAATGATTTAAATTTTGAGAAATTTACCTCCTTTATTACATTTACTTAGGCAAATGATATCAAAATTAGATCCCACAAAGTTATCATCAAAATTATAATTTTTTAATAATTAAAATAAACTTTGTATGTCAGGTGGTGATTTGGGGCCTGTTTAATCATTAATTTTAGAATCATTATGTTGTAGTTAATTAAGACCATTATTATATTCAGTTTTTAAAACAACCAACTATACACATATTTTAAACTACTGCATGAATTTTGGGAAACGTGACAATCAAACACCTTCTACACTCAAATGTAAAAGAAGAGAAGAAATCAACTTTTCTCTCTCCATATCTTGGTTAGTGTAGCAGAACATCTCTCAACAAAAAAATCTTCATCTCCTCTTCCTTCCTCTTTTTTTTTTTTTAAAAAAAAATCACC